ACAAAACTCCTTGAAACGATATTATGAAAATAGAGACGCAATATTACGTGCAACAAAAGATAATTTTCTGAGATATAAATTTTCTGATAACGAAATGGATCAATTAAAGATGGCACTAAATAAAGAAAATAAGAAGCGTCTAAATAAAGATTATTATGATCGTAATTATAGTCACATATTATATAGATTACGGTCTAATTACTCTTTACCTGTACCAAATAGTGAAGCAAAGGAATATTATTTTACGAAAATTATTGAAGCATTATATTACAGCCCCGAAATAGTTGATGATTTATTGCCATCAAGTATGAAAGGTGTAGATTTTGAGAACACATCATATGACAGTAATTGTAATGCTGCATCAAGTATATTATTGGAATCAGTTTTGAAAAACAGATCCCACAAAGTAAGCGTATTGATATGTGCAGCAAATAGCATTAGAAAATTGAAGTTGAATAGCTTTAGTGATTTTGGTGAACAATGTCACACAAAGAATAGTGAGCCTTATTTTTATGAATCAGCATATTTGTATCCTAATGATGATCCTGATAGCCAATTAAATAGTCCAATTGCAATCCCTGTTGATACAAATGGCATCTGTTATGTAGCAGGGATGGTTGATATATCATGTATTGATAGAGTACAAGAATGTAATGGTGATAGTGATTCTGAAGATGACAATTATGATAACAGAATGTATACTAATAAGAGAAAGCCTGCCCTCAAATGGCACTGTACAGACAGGTGCAAACCTTTATTAGAGAGTGACATTAGTTCGATCATTGAAGTTAGACGATATTTTGATGAGCCCATTAAAGATTTGAGGAAGCATTTAGATGCATGTGATAATTATCCTAATACTCATTATATGACAAGATCCCTGCATGTTGAAGAAATAGATCAAGTGCATGAACATGATTTCTGTGATAATGCAAGTGTAACGGTAATTGTTAAAAAAGATGAAAATAATGTTGAAAAATATTTTAAATATTCAGAAATTGTTTGTGAAAGAATAGGGCATCCTATTGTGTGTAGTAGTAATGATACTGATTGTAAAAGCATGCTGCGTATTTTACGCAATGCATCTGTTCATTATCCTTTGTTGAGACGCCTATTGAAACACTTTTATGTTGCTAGAAATGCCCATTTAACAATAGATATTATTGATTCTTCCCTTGCTGATGGTGATATAGAACAATTGATAAATTTAAAAATTAGTGAAGCTGATGAAACTTAATTTGATAATGTTTATTACACTATTAATGATGGTGAAGAAGAAGACCCATTTAGAATACCAAACTTAGATACTGTACTTTATTTTCAGTATTCAGATGCTATTGACGAATTTAAGAAAGCTTTGTCTGATCAGGCTGTTAATGCTTGTTGCAGCTGTGAGAGGCTTTTAAGAAAAAAATCTGTCACTAAAGCTAAAAATTTAGATAGCGATGTTTGGATTATCCTATTAGATTACATTAGAGAGAATGATCCTACAGCATTAAATAAAGTTATGTATATTTGTAATCATTGTAAACCTATTATTAGGAAAAATGAAGTTCCTGCACGTTGTGTGCTCAATGGGTTAAAGTGTGAGCCACTACCAAAAGAATTGGAAAATTTGGATCCTTTAAGTTGCCAGTTAATACAGAGAGCCAAATGTTTTCAGACAATTGTTAGGCTAGGCACACACACCTTAAAAGTGCCTACATATAATTCTTTGAAGGCTCTTAAAGGTGCGATGTTTTATTTACCCCTTCCATTAGAAAAAACCATGGAAACTTTAAATGAGATTGGTATAGATTCTAATCATTTGCCTAATCTAGAACTTTATATTATTATTAATGGAGAGCCTACTAAATCAAATAATGTCTGGCGTAGCCTAGTTGATGTGAATAAAATAAAAGCAGCACTAAGAAAATTAAAAGAAATAAATTGGCTTTATAGAAACGTAGATGATGACTCCATCGACGAATCGTCTAAAAATGTCATACAAGTAGTTAGCAATACTACTTGTAAAATGCTTGACAAAGCAAATGATCAAGATTTAGAAGGCCTTTCGGCATATACCATTAGAAATCTTGATAGTAAAATTGCAACAGGTTCTAAAATCAGTCAATATAAAATAATGAATGTAAAAGAAGCGCCTATAGACAATAGGCAAGAGCATCTTGATTTGTTATGCTTTCCTACTTTATTTCCTACTGGACAATATGGAGAGCATCATTCCAGACAAAGCTATCCAGCACAGACTTTATCATTTAGTGAATACATAAAATCTAGACTTTTAAACAAAGATTCCAGATTTCGTAGAAATCATTCATATTGTTTGCACTATTACGGATTAAAAATTAACAAGGCCTTAAAAACTGGCATATACAATTTATTAAAAACATCAAGGGGCAATGTTGGTCAAACTGTTGCTGAAATATTAGAAAAAATAAATGTTTTAGATGAAGAATTTGAGGGCAATTTAAGTACAATGTTGGCTCCAATACGGGGCACAAATCAATATTGGTTCCGTGTGAAAGGTGAAGTCAAAGCAATGATTGCTGAGTATGGCTCACCAACGCTTTTCCTTACATTAAGTTGTGCTGAATACGATTCAGCTGATATAGCGCAATATTTAAGAAAAGTAAATAATGCACCACAATCATATAGTATTTCTAGATTATGTACCGAGGACCCTGTTTCAGTATCACGACAATTTTCATAAAAATTTAAGGATTTCTTTAACATAGTCAT